TATATATATATATATATATATATATATATATATATATATATATATATATATATATATATATAGAACTTTTTGAAAAATAACCACAATAGTTTTGTGAAACTTTTGTGAAAATTTCTTTAAAGAAAGAAAAGTTATGTGATTATAATTTATGGACTTTGTGATACTCATCTATAATATAACAATATTGCTGCATAGCCACTTGTGAAAACAAGAAGTCAGCTTCTAATGGAAGCTCCTCACTCCTTTCATTTAACACACACACACACACACACACACATACATATATATATATAAAACTTTTTGAAAAATAACAAATTGTTACAAAAAGTAGAAAATGCTGTTGGACACCCAGATGAAATTGGGAACAGAAAACAGAACGCAAACTGTCAATACAGGAGCAAAATTGTGGTTACCCAACCAAGGCCTGTACTTGTAAGTGTCTAGAAGATGTATTAATTCATCAAGATTCATGGGGCCTTTGCAGCATTTAGAAACCTATTATGGTACCTATTATGTTTACATCTATAATTTTTTTTAGTGTACCATTATTGATGTTAGTATGCCCATAAATAAAACCAAAAATGTAATATTACATAAATAAATAAATACATAAATAAATAAATAATATATGAATGTCTATGATTCATTAAAAAAAAGCATTTTGTCTTAAAAGTTCCTATTATGATTGCATGAGCTTGTATCTTATTATGAAAGGCAGATTCATGTTTAAATATGAAATGAGCAATGAAAAGAAAAAAAACTTAATATAATATGAAGTTTAAAACAAATTTGAGTAAAGACTGTGTATGTTTTTTTTCAATAAAAGAGTTTTAAAATGACTGAATGTATCATTTGTTTTTGGTCTTACTGCACAATTTCAATGGTTTCAATGGTTTAAGCATGATTGCCTCATTGTTCCATATCTCATAATATTCCTGATATATTCATAATTTTCTCCAAGAAAGGGAGTTTTAGAACAGAGACACTCTATATATTATATATATATATATATCAAAAACAATCTAATTGGACACTGACAAACAAAGGTGATTATCTTCAGCTGTAGCTGTTGACAATCAAACTTCTGTGATGAAAAAGCATGCCATAAAGTGAAATTTGCTACTGTCACGTTTATTTTCTGTTCTGTTCCATTTTGGTTTAGTTTTCGGTGTATTTCTGTTCCCCTGCATTAGTTCCCTAGTTCGTTCCCTTGATTGTTAATTGGCTCCACACCTGTTCTGTTTTCATCTTGATTATGTTCCCCATGTATTTAAACCCTGTGTCTTCTTCAGTTCAGTGTTTTCTATTGGATTACAGATGTTCTTGTTTTCTCCCTGTTGGTTCATTAAAAAGATCTTACTTGTACTCTACTCCTTCATCGTGTGCTCTTTGTGCTTGACAGTCCATAACACATATCACACACTCTTTATAACAAGTGCATCAGTGTTACATAGTATTTGTTAGTGATGGGAAACCGAGGCTTTCTGAACCGTTTGAGGCTTTCATGAAATTGTGCCGGAAAACGGTTCATTACTCGAAGCTTTTTAACACAGTGCGCATTAGCGACATTTGGTGGTCAGACTCGATTTCTCCACCAAATCTAACGAAACATCACCGAGCAGAGGATGGTTTGAAAAAGTTTTGAATCTGTGCCAACTCGTGTCATGCGTAGTCCGGTCAGTGGATTCACATATTGATCAATAATATAAAATATACAAGTGTGTGATTATAATTAATAAACTGACGTGAGTAGTAGCAAAAATATTTTTGGGTGAGCTGTTCGGGGTCTCTGATCAAATGCAATAGAGGTGTGACGTGCATTCAGTTTCTGTCTGGTGTTGAGGTTTTTCTAAACTATTCTACTGAATCCCAAATAAGTGTACACACACACACAACTGTCTTGGGAAGATACCTTTTACATGCAATTCATTTATCTATCTCTTATGACTTAACTGAGTGTGACTGTTGGAATAATCATACCGTTTACAATAAAAAGAGTGTATTTAGGGAATATTTTATTTAGGCCTAGCATATCGCATAACATTGCATATACATGACATTTTTCACTTTCTAATAAATCTCAGTGGTTTCATGATGTCAAAAAGATATTCATGTAAGAAAAGAACTCAGGTCAAGATTATGGGCATGTATATCATACAATAATACCAGTAAAGGTGAATTCATCTCTTTTTAAGATAAATGGGTAATTTACTTTTGACATAGATTCGTTTTTTTCTTTCTTGAGTGTTATATGAATGTAGTCTTTGCATGTTTGTGTGGTGAAACATTGATTCTTATTTGACACTTCTTATGAAAATAAAATAAAATAATAATTAGCCTATTGCAGAGATAACGTTATATTCATTTGAGAACATAAATGCCATGGGCAACACTGAGTCTCACAGTGCTTCTCTCATTTTCAGTTCAGTTTCCAGGTATGTGACAAAATAATTCTCAATAACTCTCCTTAACGTGATAAATCTATAGGTATCATGTTTGATATAAGGCTTTCTGTGTCACGATGAACACAGGCACTCCATCCTCGACTATTGCCACTTTTTTAAGGACTTCATTACCCATAATTCTCTGCCCAGTCTAATCTTCTATGATTGCGTTCAACTGTGTCTTGTTGCTTCATGAGTTTCACCATATTTAAATCCTGGTTTTCCTCGCATTCATTGCTTTGTCTTGCTTGTGTTAGCACTGCTTTCCTGGTTATTGTTTTCAGTGCTCCTATATCTTAGCTCTAGGATTCTTTGTTTTCCCCTGTATTTTCCCGTTTGCCTGTGCTCTGGATATCTTTGTTTGGACTGCCCACTCTATTTGTGGATTATCCATTAATAAATGACTGCATCTGAATCCTCAACCTTCATGTTCCCGCGCAGTTAGTAAAATTTTGTTGTATGGTACTTTCCTGAAAAAACTTTTGTATATATAAAAGCAAAGAATTTTGTTTTTTTGTGATCAATAAATGGCAAAAGCCTGATGCCTAAAATATGATAAGCACATATCCAAAAATGAATCTACAGTATATTTGTTATTTATGTCTAAAGATTTTATGGACAATTACTGCTAACCAGAACTGCTTTTACATGCAATGATAATCTTGTATTTTCT